GACTATCTTCCCAAGATCTGAAAGCGACCGGGGTAGACGAAGCTACGACTCAGGTGTGTCTCCACCACTCTAAACAAGACTTTCCAAGACTTTTTGGGCCCACCGAAGGCCCTTATTATCGGAAAATTATTAGCGTCGGCCTCAGACATTTCCCCAGATCGTACTGCTGTTGTCCTCGCTTCGAAGTCCAACGTGGGCCACGTCGCATGAGGGTACCCACTCGCTACTGCGCTCACGATTTGGCCAGATTCCGAAGTTCTAGCAACATCTACAGGCCACTCTCCATGCCCACGTGTACGCGCGCGGCCTTCTACTACTCGTCAGGGAGCTGAAATCGTATCTGCTAAGCTATCGAATATCTCAAAACGCTCAGGCGTACACCAAGGGTGCCACCGCCGAGTCGAAACGCCTACGCGTCAACGTAGACAGGATCTTTTTGTCTCACAGGGTATCTCATCAAACTTCATTATCGGTAAGCTAGGTTTGTGTTGGAGACTACTCCAAAGATCTACTCAGAATGCCTCATGACTCAACGAATGGTTGGTACCATCGAAACACATTGTCAGGGTCATATCTCTGCTTGAGAAGCCGTAGCTTCTCCAATCTCCAGGGCTCGTAGCCATACAGTGCTTCGGGCGGGTCCTTCAAGGTCGCCGTGCCATTCCCGTAGCTCACGTACTGCTGCAAGCGGCCGTACTCAGAGGTCTCGACAAAGCGTTGCTTCCAGTAGTCGAGATGGTCCTCGAAAACCTTGCGATCTTCCAATCGCTTTGGTGTCGCATTCAGCATGCTGTACATCATACGTTAGGACTCTCTTTATAGTTTAACCAGTGCGGTGTATACTCACAGGAAATGATTCGATCCTCCACGCCATGGAAAGGCTGTCGCATCATCGGGGATCTCGCGAACACGCTGATCAGGCAGGCATTCGAACATGGCACTGAACCAGCCGCGGTCCTCCCACTCCTCACTCATAGCTTTGACACTCTCAAAGAACTCGCGTGTCGTCTTGAGGTCGAACTTATCGACGCAGGCGGCTCCCATCATCTTATAGGGGCCTCGGAGCCAGACTTCGGGATTGCAAAAGAGCTTGTTTATCTCTTTGTAAGTGGTGAATGGTAGCTCTGGCCATGGCACGGACTTCCGCCCGGTGATCAAGACTGGGCTCAGGGACTCGAAGCGCTGCACATACGGGTCTGCACCCGCAGCTGGACCAGACCAGACTAGGTTGACGAGAATGATGTGCTGAGCCTTGTTAGCAGCGTGGATACCTCACTCGTTAGGCGACCTACCTTGCGACCGCTGCTTTGGCGCAACCATAGGACGAAGATTGCCAAATCAGCGGGCATAGTTTCATAGACGCTATTCAGCGTCTCGAATACCGCATCGCACTGATCCAATGTATACTCCAGATCCCAAGTATGGTGTATGCCTCCGTGCGGCTGTGGATAGACCTGAAACGTGACCTCGATTGCAATGCCAAAATTGTGGCCTGCGCCACGAATCGCCCAGAATAATTCCGGATGCGAGTCCTTGGATGCAACCAATACGCTTCCATCGGCGAGCACGAGCTTGCAAGACACCATGTTGTCGTTTAGAAAGCCATATTTGCCTTGTAAACGGCCAAGGCCTGCACCAAATGCTACGCCAATAACACCAGTCGTAGGACACGACCCTACATCTACCAGCTTTGTAAGTACTTTCACTCTCAGCGAAGATGCTGTTACACTTACTGACTTCCATACCCAAATCATGCACGAAGCGCACGAACTCATCAGTGACCGCTCCACCACCGGCGGTAACATGCCGTTTCTCAGCGTCCCATCGCATGTGGTTGAGTGGGCGCATGTTGATACATATACCGTTCTTGAAATGTCTCATCGTGGTAGTGACTGCATGGTGGCCACCACGGGGTGTGAATGGAATACCCTTCTCCCGCGCATATTTGACGACCTCGACTACATCGTTCTCACAACCTGGCTCGACGATAGCGAGGTATGTTGGGCGCTCGTACTGAGTGAAGCGAAGGTTGCCCTTGTCGAAGCCCGTTTTGTCCATGTCGAACGGAAGATGAATTCGCGCTTCGCTGGAAAGCTTCTCTTGAAGCTCGGCACGGATTGTCTTTGCCGATGAGGCAAGCACGTCGTCGGAGCCATGTTGATTATCCATGTTTTTTGGTGATAAAGATGTCACCACGTGAACTGGCGATACCAAAGAGAGACGTCAAGACCGAAAAGAGATGGTGTTTCGTACAACGAGATGCTCAGCTACCCACAGACAACCAGCTTGTCATCACAGCCCATCTCTTCGACACATTGACAGGCCAGCAACCCAACGATACGGCGTGCTGGAGGCTACGCAAGAGGAACTGGCATACTTCTAGATTAACAGGGGTATAGAAATGCTCTATCTTACACTGCATTGCCGGGTAGTAATCACGAGTCATTTTTCTCCGTACCCGTGGTCAAGCTTTCACCATTCACCCCAAACACGTGGCCCAGCTGCACATAATCGTTTGCGCACTGCTGGAAAACCCATGTTTCCCGCCAGTATCCACAATCGCATACGCACAGCCGACTATCTGCAAGCCATTTCGGAGAGAGGATCGGCCCGACAACCAAGGGCCGAATGAAAGTCCGGGTCACCTGAGCTCACCTTCGTATCTTCACCGCGGAAAACTTCAGTCTCTTTAAACACCAACTGTAGCAGAGCGTGCGTAATTGAGGGGATGCAATTGGCTACTTCTGGTCTGCACCATCGGTCGGCAGGTGCGACGTTTGGCGATAGTAGTGGAATTGGAGGTTTTTGCCAGATGCCGCATGGATCGAACACGTCGGGATAGATGCCTCCGGCATTGTGAGCATTCAATGGGGTGATGAGCTGGAGAAGACTGAGCTGTCCATCTCCCGGCTCTCGAACCGCTGGCTCTGAGTTTCGTCACAGTCTGGCAACTTCACAACATCATGGCTGCTGCTTTCATACCAGATAGCCTGTGGCAACAATTGCGCCAAGCACCACCACTGACATTGCGAAACATTACCGTCGGTATCTTCGTGCTCGTAAGTTCACGCAAGTCCCAACTTGGCTTCTGAATCATCTCACAAAGATTACCAGATCCTGCTTCACGTCTTCTTCAAGGTCGTATACAATCTCTACCTCAGCCCTCTAGCTGGCTATCCGGGGCCGAAGCTCTGGGCCATCTCTCGTCTACCATGGAATCGCGCAAACATGAAGGGACGGATCAGCTGGAAGATCCGCGAGCTTCACGACAAATACGGTCCTGTTGTGCGCATCGCTCCTGATGAGCTCTCTTACACGACTTCGGGAGCGTGGAAGAAGATATATGGACAACGAAACCCTGAGTTCGTGAAGGCTCTTGACGGTAGAGGTATCGCGCCTGCGAGTATAGGTGGCCAACGTAGCTTGATGACTGAGCATCAAGATCGACACTTGAGGCTGAGAAGAGCTATTGATCCGGCTTTTAGTCAGAGAGCGCTGTAAGTCTATTCGTCGAAATGCAGGCATGGTATGACAATACTGATCCCATGCTAGGCGCGAACAAGAGAGTTACTTTCAAGACCATTCGGATAACCTTGTCCAAAAGCTGAAGGAACGAAGCAAAGACGGACCCGTCGACATGACTACATGGTACAACCTCGTCGCATTCGATATCGTATCCGACCTGGCTTTCGGCGAACCGTCAGGCTGCGTCAACAACCCCGAGCAACCATGGATCCAAGCTATCCTCGCTCGCGCAAAGGCTATCGTTTGGTTCCAGCTTGCCGTGCAGTACGGCTTCATGGGTCTACTCAACTGGATGACACCGAAATACGTCACCGAGTCAAGGAAGAAGCACATCGCGATGACAGAAGCCAAGTTGAAGGCGCGAGTCGAGGCCAAGAACCCTGGGAAGGATTTCATGTAAGTTCAATCGAACCATTACCCAGTCGAAACACTACTGACTCAGTGTCTGATCAGGTCTTACATCCTCGAGAACGACGAGAAGCTCAACCACCTTGAACTGGTCATGCTCTCCTCCAACTTCATCGTAGCCGGCAGTGGTACATCGGCAGGCGGCATGTCCGGCCTAACATATCTTCTCCTGCGCAACCCAGTTAAACTCGAGAAGCTTAAGCAAGAGATACGCGGCTTGTTCAAAAGCCGCGCAGACATGACCGTTCAAGCTGTGACCAGCTGCAAGTACCTGCGCGCTTGCCTTAACGAGGGCATGCGTCTCTACCCACCAACCCCAGGTTCACTTCCACGCTTCGTCCCTGGAAAGGGCGAAATGATCGAGGGCAAATGGGTTCCTGGTGGTTATGCTGTTGCTGTCAATCAGCTGGCAGCCGGGCACTCTGAGCGCAACTTCAAGAAGGCTCGGGAGTTCCATCCGGAACGCTGGCTAGATGACGCACCGGAAGAGTTCAAAAACGATGACCGTTCTGCTGTTCAGCCGTTTTCCTACGGTCAGAGGGCTTGTATCGGGCGGTCTATGGCTTATGCCGAGATGTCGCTTACAATGGCGAAATTGGTACGGTTCTTTGACTGGGAACTGCATGATCCTGGTAACGACTGGTGGAACAAGCAGGGTACTTACTTGGTGTGGGAGAAGCTGCCTTTGATGGTCCAACTGACACCCGTGTCTGATCTGGATGGGTAACGACAGCCGGAAATGAAACTATAGATGTGCTCGTTATGCACTGATCTCGCATAAAGTCATTGAGATGGTCAAAAGTATATGGTGTAGCTGCGATATAATTCCAACGAACTTATACTGCAAACGGAATGGCTCACTTCTGGCCATTCTCACGAACAACGCCAAGTAGGCGAGTTCCAGCTCGAAATGCACAGACATGACTAGGTGCCCGGCCCCTGCTTAGTGCTATGCAGGTGGGTCAAAAATGATGCGTCGGAATCAATAGCTCAGTGGCATACTTAAACTTAAAGTGGCGCACTTCTAGGTCCATGCAGCTTCAACACTAGACGCTCCTATACCAAAGATGCAAACACACCCTCTTCTCCTAGGCGCAGGCCTTCTCCTTTTGGTTCACCTAATCAATGTTCTCATTTTCAAAACCCTCCGCAACTACCTCAAAAGCCGCAATCTAGGATGCGGTCCCGTACCCACCGAGCCCTACCACCTCCCCTTCGGCATCGACACCATCCGCCGCAGTATCCTCGCCGACCGCGAGCAACGCACTCCCGATTTCGTCTTCTCGCGCTTCACGGCCATGAACCGGTACACATGGGCCATATCCCTGCTCGGCACAACCAACCTCATCACCGCCGAGCCACGCAACATCCAAGCCCTACTCGTCACGCAATTCGACGACTTCATCATGGGTACAGCTCGACGCACGAATTTGAAGTGGGCGCTCGGGCGCAGTATCTTTGCTGTTGATGGGGTGGCTTGGCATCGGGCGAGGGAGACTATGCGGCCGCTTTTTAGTAGGGAGAATGTTTCTAGGCTGGAGGTGTTGGAGGGGCATGTGGGGAGTTTGTTAAGAGTCGTTGAGGAGAAAAAAGGGGGATTGAGGGTGGATGAGGAAGGGAGGGCGTGGTCGGCGCCCGTGAGTTTAGCGGCGTTGTTACCGAAGTTGACGATGGATTCGGCGACGGAATTCTTTTTGGGGATGAGTACGGGGTCGCTTAACAAGTTGCTTGAGGAGCAGCAACAACAGGAGCAGGAAGGCGACGAGATTCATGAAGAAGACAGCTTCGACCACGCATTCGAGCGCATGCTCTCCATCCTCGGAACCAGAATGCGTCTTCGCAGCTTCTATTGGCTCTACGGCAACACCGAACTAAACAAATGCATAAACACTCTCCACAACTTCGTCGACCGCGCCATCGACGCCGCAGACCAGGCGAGAAAACAGGGTTCCTCATCCCTCCGCTACGACTTCCTCGAAACACTACGATCGCGCTGTTCCGACCGCGCTGAAGTCCGCGAGCAAGTTCTCGGTCTGCTAGCCGCAGGTCGAGATACGACAGCATCACTTACATCATGGGTGTTCTACTGCTTAGTGCGGGACCCACGGGTATACAACAAGCTACGTGAAATCATTCTCGCTGAATTTGGGTCTTACTCGAGTACCATTGTTGGACAGAGTATAACGTTCGAGAAGCTGAAAAGCTGTTCTTATCTACAGCATGTTCTGAACGAAACACTACGCCTCCACTCCGTCGTCCCCTTCAATTCCCGCTGCGCTATTCGCGACACCACCCTCCCTACCGGCGGTGGCCCCTCGGGTACCCTCCCCATCTTCGTCCCCGCGGGCACAGAAGTAAACTTCAGCACGCACGTCCTGCACCGCCGGAAAGATCTCTGGGGCGAAGACGCCGATGAATTTGTACCTGAACGGTGGGAGAAGAGACGGCCGGGGTCAACGTGGCAGTACGTCCCGTTCAATGGGGGCCCGCGTATTTGTATTGGGCAGCAGTTTGCGCTTACGGAGGCGGGATATATTATTGTGAGGCTGGTGCAGAGGTTTGATGTTATCGAAGGACTGGATGTGGATTTAGAGAGGGATTGGCATAATTTTACGGTAGTGTGCAGTCCCGGGAGCCCAATGAAGAGGGAAGAGGCGGTTTTGTGTAGCTTGAGAGTTGCTGTTGAGTAGACTGTGGTGGCTTTAGACGAGCTGTACTGGTGCGTCATTTCAATTGGTTGACTCAACTGTGGCTCAATTCTTGCATGGTGGTGCCAGTGTGAGTGTAGTCACGTGCTGTGTTCTCTCGACCTCTCCTAACTTAGAACCCCAACGCTCATGACAGAATGTACGCTGAGCCCTCGCTCTTTCCTCTTCCATCACCACTGACCTCGTAACGATGCCATGCAAGTCCCGAGTCAGTACAGCAACGAACGGCGACTAGGCCTCACTAACGAGGCCGGACCGAATGCGGGATCGAAGTCCTAGTATCGCCGAGACCAGGAGCCGCGTGGGGTCACAATATCGAGAACAACGAGTGGAGTCACATTCGAGATCAGACGCTCACAGTAAGTCGATCAGCCACGTGGATATACGTTTACTCCCATTGGCTTGTCGACTGCTACATCTGCGACGATGGCAACGATACCAGAACTACCCTGCGAACGAAAGAGAATCAGCAATCGAGGTGGAAGTGATTGGTTCGCATTACTTACGAGGAAGAAGATATCTGTCTATGCCACTACTACGAACCTGTGGCTATGAAGCTCGTCTTTTGAGTACTGGGCAGAAGAACCAGAACGAGCGAACACCGAGCTGAACGTCGAGATGTTGTCCATGATAGTTCTCTTCATCTTCATCAGTGTACGTCAACACCTCCTACACCATCAGGAACCTCCAACATCCTAACCGCGCACAGCCAATACTCTACTTGCTCCTCCGCTCCGTTTACTACCTCTTTTTCCACCCCCTCTCACGCTTCCCAGGCCCCAAACTCTGGGCCATCTCCCGCCTGCCCTGGCACTATGTCAACCTCCGCGGCGACCTCGCATGGCGCATCCGCGACATGCACATCTACTACAACAGCCCCGTAATACGCATCGCACCCGACGAGCTATCCTACACCAGCAGCACGGCCTTGAAGAAGATCGACGGCTCACCTCCACCTCGCGAGTTTCTCAAGTGTCTGGACGGGCGTGGAATCGCTCCTGCGATCGTGAATGGACGTCGTAGTATCGTTACCGAGACACCTGAGCGCCATGCCGTGCTACGGCGGGCGCTTCAGCCAGCGTTCAGTGAGCGCGCATTGCGGGATCAAGAAGATTTCTTTCGGGATCACACTGATCGGCTTGTTTCTCAGTTACGGAAACCACAGTATCATGCTGTAGAGCAGAATATCCTCCGCTGGTTCAGCCTATTGAGTTTCGACATCATGAGCGACCTGGCCTTCGGACAACCCGCGGGCTGTCTCGACCGCGCCGATGAGCCCTGGCTTGACGTTATCGGATCGCGCGTCAAAAGCATTGTTTGGTATCAACTCGCTACGTACTACCATATCGAGTGGATACTCAAATGGACGGCACCCAAAGCGGCCATGGAGGCGCGGAAGCGGCATCAAACACTCACCCTCCAAAAGGTACAGCGACGGATTGATGAGGAGCGTGCTGGCACCCGAAAAGGGAAGAGACGGGATTTCATGAGCTACATCCTTGGTAACGAGAGTGAGAATTTGAGTAACATGGATCTTTTTGGTATGGCGAGCGCGTTGATTGTGGCGGGCAGCAACACGACTACGTATACGATGAGCGCATTTGTCTTCTTCGTTTGTGGGCATTCGGACGCCTATAAGAAGGTTATTGCCGAGGTGCGGGGTAGGTTTGCGAGCGAAGAGGAGATTAGCATGGTTGCTGCTGGTGAGCTGGTTTACTTGAAGGCCTGCATCGAGGAGTCGATGCGTATATCGCCGCCTACGCCATCAGCTTTGCCGCGCTGGGTTCCGGAGGGTGGAGAGGAGATAGATGGAAAATGGGTACCGGGAGGTGTAAGTATTTGTTCGCGTCTCGGCCGTGGCGAGTTTGTACTGACTAGTCGACCAACAGACAGCTGTAGGCGTGCACAATCTCGCAGCCTGTCACGCTCCATGGAACTGGCACCGGCCTCTTGACTTTATCCCAGAGAGGTGGCTGCAGACGAAAGATGGGGAGTTTGCTCGTGATGACCGAGGTGCATCTCGTCCTTTCTCCTATGGTAGACATGATTGCATTGGACAAACGTAAGATCTCTCTTTCCCTTTTCGGTATCGGTGGAACGATTGCTGACTTCATGGTTTTCCAGTATGGCTATGAATGAGATGAGACTGGCTTTGGCTAAGCTCTTCTGGAACTTTGACATCTCGCTCAGCCCAAACAGTGAGAAGTGGTGGATCACACAAAAGTCGTATTTGGTCTGGGAGAAGAAGCCGCTCATGGTCTCCATCAGGCCGAAGCGGTAGTCAGAACTTGATTGAGCATCTGTTGTATCATCACGTAAATCTAAAAGGCTATGCATACCGGCAGCGTCAGAACAGTGTACAGAACGCTTGCGTAGGCCTCATGACAGCCAAGTGAGCCCTATACGGTGAATACGGGTGATGATGTGTGTGCGTGTATCAGACCCGGACATCGTTGATTTACCTCATGTGATTCGACAGCAGAAAGCCTGTCTTTCCGATAACATTTTTACCAAGCCAGGATGTTGGTTACGCGTGTTCCGTTGTACTCTTGGAGTGTAGACCAATTATGCGCGATGCGTTTGCAGTGGCACTTTACTCGGCCCGTTACACTTCGGCCCGAGCGTGTTGAAACTAGGATGGGGTCTACCGGTAGATCGTATTGATAGCAGTGGGCGCTCTTCGGCGCTCACATTCGAGTTAGACAGCGGCAAGTAAGATGGCCACTCCTTTGACCACGTGGTAGGCGGTCCAATAAATGAGTATGGAATGTTTACCACGGTCCACGGTGAGCAGCAACTTGGGGTAGTCACCTCTCTGCCGAGCTTACAATGATCGAGAAATATCACCTTCTGTCATACTCCCGACCATCTTCTCTCGTCAGCCATTCTGCGTGACTGAAACCAGCTTTGGTCTGAGCCATGGCGACACCAACTTCCATTGCCGAACGCCCAAAGCGAGAGCTAAAGGTGCTTTCATTGGGAATGACACGTACTGGTGAGTTCCTCCAACGTTTGCTTTTGCTATTGTTACAGCCGTCGGGAGAAGCTGACTGAAGCGAGGGTAGGGTCGGCCTCCATCACTCAAGCTCTCGAGATTCTCGGATATCAGGGCGTGCACCACGGCATCCAGGCCATCAGTTCCCCAATTGAGTGGGAGTTATTCAGCAAAGCATGCGATGCCTTTTACCCTGTGCTGCCGACCTACACAGGCGCACCATTCACACGCGCCGACTGGGACATTATCTTTGGGCCTTATGAGGCCGTCACCGACATGAGCTCTTTCTTCGCGACGCAGCTCATAGAAGCCTATCCCGAGGCGAAGCTAATCCTGGTGGAACGTGATATCGACGAGTGGTACGACAGTATGGAGGCGGCCATCTTCAGCACGACATGGGGGCTTCGCGCTGATCTCGTGATCAACGTACTGGGACCACTGTACGGTCTCAATGGCGGCAAGACGATTCGCAAGATCATGCTGGGCTTCTATGGTGTGCGTAATGTGCATGAGATGCGGCGGGTTGCCAAGGATCGATATAGAAAACACTATGCAGAAATCCGTGCTGCGGTGCCTGCCGAGCGCTTGCTCGAGTTCCGCTTGGAGGATGGCTGGAAGCCGCTATGCGAGTTCCTCGAGAAAGAGGTGCCAGAGGAGCCATTCCCTGTCAAGAACAAGAGAGACGAGCATGTGAAGCGGGTAAGGCAGAAGCAGGACATGTTTTTTAGACACGTTGCAACAAGGTTTGCCAAGAAGGCGATACCCTCCGCCCTGGGTGTCGGCGTTCTCGGTCTGGCTGTGTGGAAGAGCAAGTCTGGTGCGCGGTGGGCTGAGATACTGAGCACTTTCAGGGAGACTTTGGCAAGGGCCTGGTGACGGGTTCCGATGGTTGTGTTGGCGAAGCGGCTGATCGGCAGAGTGGGACAGGGGAACGGTCGCGAAGGTTCTCTTGGGCAGATCTCAAGCTATCCGGAATGGAGCATCAAACAACGCACTATGGTGTTTTTCGCACTTCTTGCTTTCAAAGAGGCCAGTTTTACCTACAGGCGAGTCCTTTCACATGTGCAAGTATGGTGATTGGTCGTGCACGGTGGGCAGGGTGCTTTGATCCGTCCTTCTGCTAGGCAGCTGTGAAGATTTGAAGCAGCGTGTTCACACTCGTGGGAGAAAGATTGAGGAAACGTTGCATATCGACCAAGGAGTCATCGAGGTGAATGGTGTTGGCGGTGCGGTGGAGCCAGTGTCTCGTGTAGATCTGTCTGCCTAGCGACTGGAAGACTACCGAAAGGACACCTGGAACTTGGGACAGACAACGAGGGCCGTGTCCGAGATTACCGACGCAGCGACTCAGGCTGGCTGGGGTTTCGCGCATGGAGGAAACGGCGATTTTGCAATTCAGATGCATTGATTCGCGACTTGAACGTTGAGATGGTAGAGCACCGAGGTTTGTAGGTGTTCGCGTTCGCTTAGATGGAGGGGTAAATTGGACTAGAGGCACGATAGCAGATAACGACGGAGCTGCGACTTCCCCATCATCGTCTGCACAAGAAGCTACTGTGTCCTATAGGTTTGCATAGCGCGGAGTCACACCTGCTACACGGGCGCAGTGAAAGCACAGTGCTAGCGAATTACACGTGTCCTGTAGCCAGCTGCGTCAAACGCAGGTGAAATTGAGGCTGATGCGGGCGGTTGGGGCAAAGTGAACGGGCCATGGGCGAGCTGCGCGCTAGACCATTTGCGGAGCAAGATCCTCGAGATCGCAAGGTGTTCTTTCGAAATACTTCCACGACGTGTCCATATAACAGTAGCCGCCCACCGCTACTTGCCCTTCCTCCTCCACTCACCTTGCAACTGCAACCA